AAACACCTAAAGAAGGACACGAATGTAGAGCAGCCATCTTGAAGCAGCATCGCAAGCAAACATGAACTTCCTGTCTAACTCTTCTTCTACTGTCACAAAATATCGACTTAAAGGGACCGCAGGGCGGCGCACTTACTAACATTTAAAACATTAACTAAGCGGTAACATAACACTCCCCGCCTGGGATTATGACAATCCCACATTAAACTGTCAGTCACTAAACTTTTCAGGGGACAGCAGCAAAACCACTTCTGTTACAGGACGAGAGAAAGTCTTCTTATTGCCTGAATGCGAAGTAGTTACTTCGACTTTCCGGACAAGTCCATCGTTCCCTGGGAAAGTCTTGGTTATGATACACATGGGCCAATCGCCCCTCTTCACCTGAATGTCTTTGAGCAGAACGATGTCTCCTTCCTTGAGACTTTGTTTCTTGTCCTGCCATTTGTGTCGCAACTGAAGAGTATGAAGGTATTCCCGTCTCCATTTGGACCAGAACATGTCAGCGAGACCTTGTACTCTTTTCCATTGTTCTTTCAGAAATATCCCCTTTCCAAAGTCACCAGGGGGTGGCGTTGCTGAGTCTGGTTTCATCGTGAGCAGCATCGACGGCGTGAGGATGAGAGGTGACTCAGGATCGGTGGACACAGGAATCAGGGGGCGAGCATTCATAATGGCACAGACTTCTGCCATGAATGTTGACAACAGTTCATGTGTTAGTAGTGTTCTTTTGCAGTCCTGTAACATAGAGTCGAGGATACGCCTCGCAATCCCAATCATCCGCTCCCAGGCACCGCCCATATGGGATGCATGAGGTGGGTTGAAGATCCATGAACAGTTTTGTTTGTTTAAGTAGCCTTCGACATCCTTGACTGACATGTTTGATCCGTCCATTTTCAGTTCACGAGAGGCGCCGATAAAGTTCGTACCGCAATCCGATCTTAGTTGTCTTGCTGGGCCTCTGATTGCAAAAAGCCGCCTTAAAGCATTTATGAAGCTGTCTGTGCTCATTGATTCGATCAACTCGATATGGACTGCTCTTGTCGACAGACACCTTTTAGAGCTAGCTTGTCCTCCTCTCGTGCGCCGGGTTACAATGTTCCATGGCCCGAACACGTCTACACCCACATATGTAAAGGGGGGTGCAACTTGCATTCGCTCGGATGGTAAGTCTCCCATTTGCTGACATTCCGCTTTTCCTCTCAATTTCTTACATGTGACACACTTAAAAAGCACTGTGCTGATAGCCCTTTTGGCTCCTACCATCCAGAATCCTGCAGCTCTAATGGCACCTTCCGTGAAATGTCTCCCTTGGTGTTTCACAGTCTCGTGATAGTGCCGTATTAAGAGCGTTCCCAAGTGGTGTCGGGCAGGGATGATGAGAGGGTGAGTGGTGTCGATACCCAGTTTGGATTGTATGATTCGGCCTCCAACCCTTAAGAGTCCATTGCTATCTAGAATAGGATGCAGTTTCCAAAGACTGCTTGAGGGGGGAATAGGGATCCCTTCCTGAATACACTTTATTTCCTTTTTGTAGCACTCACTCTGAACACTCTTTATGATCCAAACCTTCGCATTTTCCAATTCTTCCGCTGTGGGTTGACAGAGATGCCAACCACGACAGCTGGATGCTTGGTTGGATTGACCAAAGGAACGAGCAATGTGGGTCAAGCGGGCAACTGCTCTGAGGAGAGGACTGTAGTTGGAAAACTTCTCAAGATGAGATGAACTTACAGTTGACCTTGCGATTTGTGTCAGATTTGTTGTCACCAGCGGACGTATTTCTGTATCAAGAGTGGGATCCACAAGGTCAAACGTGACTGGAGATTGCGACTGTGCGGACGGTTTGAGGAGAAAGGCTGGCCCTTTAAACCATGTTGTGCTGCTCAGTCGCGCTGCTGCAACGGAGCGGAACCCATGATCTGCTGGGTTGAGTTCAGATGGAACGTGCCTCCACTGGTTGGAGCATGTTGATTGGAGGATGCGTTGGACCCTGTTATGCACGTACACATAAAATCTTCGTGACTGATTGTGGATGTAGCCTAGCACGACTTTACTGTCAGTGTAGTACTCAATGTCGTCAAACATGATGTCTATTTCTGCTACTATCAGCTCCGCAACTTCAACTGCAAGCACTGCAGCACATAACTCTAATCTTGGAATTGTGAGGCCGGCTTGAGGAGCTAGCTTTGTTTTTCCAAACACAAAGCCGATTTCTGTTTTGTTCGAAGTAGACAGTTTGATGTAAGCGACAGCTGCAATGGCTTTCACGGATGCATCAGCGAATACACAAAGTGTTTTGGTTTGGGCGCCAGATGTAGAGAGAGAAGTGTAGGGGCGTGGTATTTGGAGATCTTCTAAATCTTGAAGTGAGTCCTTCCAATTGCTCCACTCTGCCTTCATGTTGTCTGGGAGTGCTGCATCCCAGTCGTCCGTCAAGCTGGTAAGTTCTCTAAGAATCAGTCTGCCTTGAATTGTGATTGGAGCGAGAAACCCCAGAGGGTCGTAGAGACTGTTGACAGTAGAGAGGACACCTCTACGTGTGAAGGCCTTTTGCTCATTGTCAACTTTGAATGTGAAGGTGTCTGTGTCAACATTCCACAGCAGCCCCAAACTGCGTTGCACTGGCGAGTCTTGAGCACACAGGTCTAAGTTTCCAATGTTTTTTGCCCTGTCCTCTGGTGGGAAAGCTTCTAGGACTGTAGGGCGGTTTGAGATTACTTTGTGTAGTCTGAGGTTTGAAGAAGCAAGAGCCCGTTGAGCTTGTTGGAGAATTTTTATGGCCTTTTCTTCAGTAGGAAACGACTTGAGAGCGTCATCGACATAGAAATCTCGCTCAATGAATGTCCGCACCTCAATCCCAAAATCT